ATTTTGGCTGGATCTGCCCTTGAATCCTATGCATTTGTATTCCAATATTAATGTTTTCTGTTTTTCTTTCCCAGGTAGATCGATTCTAGCAGGACAGGTCTCAAAAGACATGAATGGTTCACAAAGGAATTAACTTTGATACTTTTCTATAATTATAATATAGTATTATAATAATTTTTTTCAAGAATGACTTTATTATTATTTTATTGAACCATATTTATCTTTCTATACTAATTTCTGATCCATTTAGCCCATTATTTTTATACAAAAACATTTTCCACTGGTTTTTTAAAGAAAATATTATGAAGATATTAGTAATATAAATTAATTTTGTTAAATTGTAATTTTCGTAACCTATATAAAGCAATATATTATTGAGTGTGTATCTGAAGTTTTATCAAAAGTATTAAATTTTTGGTTATCCCTGTCGAAAAATATCCATTCTTTACAATTGCCCACTCAGACGTTTTGCTTTCCTTATAATCAAGCCACTTGCCAGGGTGGTTTGAAGGTACAAGCAAATCCCCTCTCTTCCTCATTTTGACAACATTACTTCCACCAAATGTAAACCCCTCTTTCTGTTGGAATAGACCTAAGTTCAAGTTCAATCTCCACTTCAAACCATTGTTTCGTGGTCAGTCAAGCGAATTTGGGATAGTCTGTTCCCAGAGACAGGCTAGGACAAACAACATTTTACAATAACTTACAAATTTCTCTCATGCTGATTGGTTATTTTTTATCATCAATAAGAAGGCCGACAGATAACGAGTGCATGCAAGAGTATGCAGATCCACTCGGATAGCCTTGTGGATCCACACTACTTCGAAAATTTGATGACACAATTTATTGCCTATAAGAGGACAGACACATAAAAAACTGATGTCTATTTATTAAAATGACCATGACAAAAGGGATATTCAATAGTCACCAGCTTGTGCAGACGCTAGGGGAAAAAAGTCCACCTGATAGGTTTCAAACCTGTGACCTTCCTGATACCAGTCGAAAGCGTTTGTCATACTAACCCAGTTAAGTGACCATTACACCCCATTGGTCTCCCTGTATATCTCAGTGGTAGAGCAACTGACTGGTATCTGAAAGGTCACAGGTATGAATCCTGTCAGGTGGACTCTGTTTCCCTCCCCCCCTCCCCTCCTTTCCCTGCATTACCTAGTGATTATTGAATATCCTTTCTATCATTTCCACCTAGCTGCTCATATTTTATTTGTTATTAACAAATGATCAGCAGTGGCGGATCTAGGATTTTTCAAAGGGGGGTTCCGTTTCTTAAACTGTGTATAATTTAGTCGATGTCTGACAAAAAAATTGGCTCTAATCACCTAATTTACTATCTAGTAATGGAACTTAAAGGTAAATTAAACATTATAACAGCAAATATCTATCAATTGGTGTTCAGCATTATCTTTGTGGATACTTTTAAGCAAAATTTATATAAGACATATTTCTATTACATGAAAGATCAAACCTTCAAGGGGGTTCCGTGGACCCCTTCGATCTCCTGGATCTGCCACTGATCAGTCCTCTTTTACTCCAACGAAGGACTAGCGTCCAAAACGTCAGTAAGTTTTTTCATCTTTTCACGGTGTATAATTTACCCTTTTATCATTACTGTTTCATTAGAAACACCGACGCAGCTCACACTAGTTTTTAGCTAGTTATCTCTTCTACTTCTCATAATAACTCTTATACCTTCAGCACTGAAACAAGTCTCCTAAATATTCATTGTCTTCAAAAATGAATAAAAAGCTTTTTTTTTAAATCTTTCACTGCTATTTTATGTCAAAACCCTTAAATAACCATACCTAGAACGGTATCCCTGTGCTTAGCGTGTTTATAATCCAATTAAACCCACCCGGATTATTAATCATTGTCCTTGACTACGGTGCCTTAGGACGCTTGGTGTATCAAAACAAAGAAACTAAATCCTGAAATTTCCAATAAAATCGGCGTTTTAATTGCAGTTACATTCAAAATCTAATGATATATATCTACATGATTTGATTAAAATTTTTACTTTGTTTAGAATAAGGTGCGATGGCTTAATACTCTTATATACTTTCACAATACCCTGCTGTATAAGAAAACCGTAGATTGTCCAGGGGTTTGTATACATGGATACTAAATCTTTGTACGTGGTTATAATCTGTTCAATGCGACTTAGAATTTCCATTATAATCTAAAATAGCAAAGCATTGCTTTAAGAAAATTCTATTTTATCTATAAATTCTTTCGTTCCACAATAGTATCTTTTATTTATCAAACCTTGTGCCATAGTTGATAGTGCTTCGGTCCTCTTTCTTTATCATACGTGTATTCCAAAGCAGCGGTTCGACTCGTTGGATAATTCCCCACGTAATTCCTTGACGATCTCTCTCGAGGCAGGAACTGGTCTTGAGCTTCAGTAGGGTAGTGAAAAAACGGGACAGTATGTTCATATAACGTCTGGCTTTCATCCCTGTATTGTTGACGATGTTCGTAAACCATACTTCCAATTTGAGCTCGATCGCGTTCTCGATCAGGTATCCGATTGACAAGATGATAATTCGGACGGTTTAAAATAGCTTCCCGTCTTAATTTCCTAGCACCTAAAACTCTATCAGGGCTATCGGAGAATGTTGTAGGTCGAATAGGTGGCGGATTCATTGAGAGTTGACCATTTCTTAAAGTCTTCTCAGCAACTGTAGAGCGTCGATAGTCGTGAAACCATTTTTCGCGTCCAACGCCATGATCATACGTATGTCCAAAGCTTGGGAAGTGGTTAGGACTGTAATATCTATGCCCTGTCATATTTACAGGTTCGATGTACGTCTCTTTAGTCCATGTGGAGAATTTCGGCATGACATGGTTCGCCATTATGTTGTGTTGTGATCCCTCGAACGAATGTTTCCTCGTGTTTATTTAGAGTCATGGGAACTAATAAAACATTCTCCCTTGGGGGTAGTACAGCGGAGAATTGGTCATTTCTACTTCCAATCGATGGAAAAATCAAAATAAAATGCATAAGATAAAATAATGGATTAAACGAAAAAAAGATAGACCTTTATAGAAGCCCAGTTTTCAAAATTTTGACCCTTAATTAAAAAAAAGATATTCTTATCTTTTGAATGGCTTTTTTTTTTGCTTTGTAACATTTAAATGGGTTTTTTAGAGTAGCATTGAAATGGCTTTGCAAATGGTAATTTGGACACTAAATTGGCTTCCCAGTCACAAATCTCTTTTTTCCTGCATGAATTTTTTCGTTCTTTTTGTTACTTTATTGCTAAAATTTTTGGGAAAATGGCCCTAGGTTTTCCATTTTTTTCGTAGAAATTTTGGTGTGCTTTCAGTTTTAGAAAATATATTATTTGATGATGAAGAAATCTTGGGGAAATTTTGGTCTTGGATTGATCTATTTTTGGCATTAATTTTGTAAAAAATTCTGGTGTGCATTTTCTTTTATTAGGTAACATTCAAAGGGTTTTTATAAGGAACTTTGTACAGTGGCATTACATTGTATTCTCTCTCATTTGAAGCTTTTCTAAACTTTTCCATTAATGATAAACTAATAGTATGAATTGATTTTACTGGTGTATTATGTACTGTGATGATTGTGTTTTACAAAATAACAAACTTTATATTTCTGAACAAACAAAAGATAGATAAACAGAAGTGATTTGTGTGAAATGCAAGTGTAAATTGATACAAAGTTGTTGTAACTTTCTTTACAGTTTTGTACAACAAAAAAAAAAAAAACCATATAAGGGACAGACCTTTAGATTTTTGAGGGGGGGAGGGGTTGGGCAATTTATTTTGTGCAGGAATTGTTCTTGGACATAATTTGGAATTTTTTTCTGGCACTTCCCTTATGCACGATTTTTTTTTCACTCTTACAAGCTGTGCTCAAACTCTTTTTGGTTTTTGCCCAACCCCCCTCAAAAATCAAATGGTGCGTCCCTAAACTGCAGTGATTCATGTGAAAATGTGACAGTCATTAACAGCTTTTTAAAAACCAAAGACAAGTTAACTGCTATGATTTGTATGGAAATATGACTGTCTTTAAGGTTAGGTTCTATTACTGCAATGGATTTTATCTGCTAGATAAAAAGTAATCTGCTTAGAGAATGGTAAGAGTACAAAGCATAATATTTAATACTAACTCTGCTGGACAGTTTGAGCTTTACCTATAACTATTGAACATCTCCCTTTAGCTGCCTATCTGTTAAGGCAATCTTCTCTCCTGGTTTGAATGCCGGCATTCCTAAGTAGGGGCAAGATGCACATCTAAAAGCATCACCAAGGTAACACTATAAAGATAAAAATAAAAATAAATTATTAATTTATATTGAGCTTTTTAGCATGTAATGATCAAAAGCACATTACAACAATAAATATACAATATACAAATATATATCTATATGCAATAAAATTCAGAAATGACAATAAATTAGTATATGTAATAGGACTCCATAATTGGACAAGGAAAATTCCGAGGACTGACAAAATTGGATGAGGCCGTAGGCCGATAAATTATTAAGCTTTAGGACATTGTTTTGATTTGTTTTGTGCAGATAAGGTTAACTTTACGTCAGGATACCAGACCACTGCCAGAAATACAAAATACTGCCTGCTTACGATGCAGCCAATCAGAATGCACAATGTTTAGAATACCAGACTGGAAAAAATAAAATCAACCTCTTTTCCTTGGGAATACCAGTCCCTGTGTCTTTCCCTAAAGTATCATTGCTTTGTTTAACAGTTGCACATGAGAAGACACATGAATATGGATACAAGTCCAGTTTTTACCAAGGTTTTTCCAGGAATTTGAGAAAAAGGGGGGGGGGGGTGACTCTTACTTACAATATACTGAGAAATTTGAGCAAAAAGAGGTGACTAGTCATCCCTGTACCACCCCTGGATCTACCCCTGAACTCAAACAAAAGATCTCTAGAATCTAGAGAATCTGAAATGGGAAAACATTATGCCTGTGGTAGAAAGAGTCAGATCAATACTTACACTTCCACAAGATGAGGTGACTGTTTTCTTGGGTGCAGGTTGATCTGATTCTTGATCTGCCAAACCACATGTACTACAAAGAATTTTTAGCAATATTATTATCATGAAGCAAGTTATACAGTGTATGCAACCATGTGACTCAAAATCCCTTGAGACATGAATAACTGTGAAACAACCGCAATGTTGGGCTTGATCTAACAAGAGAAGCTAATGAGGAATGTTTGTCATTGTCAACCAAGATGTGGTTATGATGTTAAATGCAAATGCTCTATATACAACATCCCTTGTAAACTATTTATTTAAAAAATGTTGGTAAAGTCTGTTGTATTTTCCATGTTACATACCAAGCTCCAAGTGCACTCTTGGCATTAGGTAAATTCAATCAGCAATAGCACATATAATTGAAAATTTTTCCAAATTTTGTCTGCACTATTTTCTGGCGTATTTTCATCTGTGCTGACATTATTTACATATAAATGTAACACATTTCAAGCTTGGTAAGTAAACTGCAACATGCAACTTGCAACAAAGCCTTCACCAACCTTTATTGAAATAGCTGCATATTAAGTCTATACTCTTGTCTATCTTGTAAAAATGAAGTATGAAAGTGTACATGTATGTGTTTAACATACCAGTTCTTACAAGCCTTCTTTTTGCCACTTGTGGGTCCACAACCTTATGAAACAATGCAAAAAGGATTTAACCAACAACAACAACAAAAAAGAAAGCTTAGCGTTGGTGCTAGCATTATTTTGATGTTGATGATAGTGTAGGTGACCACAATAACAATAACATTGGCATTATAATGCAAAAGATATATAAAGGGGTGAGAATATCTCCTAAAAATCAGGGCCTTCAGAGTGCTTTGGAGTAGGTGATCATTTGCCTGAAGTAGCTRGCTGTCATCCAATACAAGGAACAGAAGGTATTTTATAGAAAAGAAAAAGTGACCTCCAGCTTATTCTGAAAGCCCTGAGCTGGAATTTGGATTTAGAAGTTGATTTCTGTGGGAGAAAAGCTGGTGAAAAACCCTCAAAGCACAGTAGAGAACCAACAAACAACTATGACAGGACTATAACCTAGGTCACTGTTTGACACTTGGCCGAATGATGGTTGACAATCTATGATCAGGGAAGGCGGAGCATAATTTTGATTAGGGAGGGGGCATGAACATTATCAACACTCAGCAAACTGTTGGTTGATAGCTGGCCAAAAGATGGTTGACAATCTATGATTGACCAACAGTCCCCAAGTGCCAATCAACACATGTTGGTTAGACAAAAAAAGCATTTACCAGAATAAAATCACAATAATTTAGAAGCACGCACTCACTTTTCAGAGACTCAGGATCTGGTTTCTTCAGGTCATCTTCATCTAAGAGTGTATCTGAATCCAGGATTTCCTTTAAAAAGATAAGAACAGTAATGAATGAGGTCCTATTGGGGGAGATATATTTGTACTCCGTCTGAATGTCACTTCTACCTATGTCACAAATTAAGCTATATGAAAGCAACTTAACTAGTAAACACTATTTATATTTATTATTATTTCATTGATTTGTCACCAAGAAAACTATAAGATGAATGAATGGATGGGTGGATGGATGGATAAGTGGATGGATGGGTGGATGG